GTTTCCCTCTCCTCTGCTCATTGTACCGCCCCACAATAATTGCCTGTGATGGATACTCAGATCACATTCAGCAGATAGCTGCAAGGTTTGATGTTCCATCATATATCATTTTTAATGGTTCCTAATTCATTCCATTAATTCATCAAATCATCAATACAGGGTTTGATTTTCTACTCTATTTTAATGACCCAGGCTTAACATATAAATAAATATCAAAATGTATTTAAATAACAGCATATACTTCTCTTGAAAAGTTCATGTCAAGGAAACTGCTCAAAATTTTTGTCTGTGAATGTGCACACAGATACACATTATTTGTGGGTAAATATACTAATTTACACATTTGAGTCATATATTGAGATTCTATTTCTATTTACTGTAAATCCAAGGGTGAGATCAACTTCACGCAGTGCTGTCCAGACACACCCAATTTTTCACTTTTACCAAGTATAGGAAGTAGCCAGGTTTTCCTAATAGAACCCAGTGCACTGGCATCCTGAGAGCTGTCTGGCGTGATCTAAAGAGCTTATCTGAGTAGAGGTGAGGATGGACAGGCTGAACCCCCTTCCCTCTTCTTCTAACTCCAAGCACATAAGGTAGCTTTCCATTCCAGGGCCTGCAATGTGGCTCTAAAGAGTTTTTTTTTTTTTTTTTTCCTTGAAGAAAATCAACTTTATTTTCTCTAGATTAAAAAAAAAATAGAACCAACTATTTAGTTTTTGCTTTTGGTTCACATCTCAATTTCTGAAAAGGGGACTTGGCTCCTAAAATCATCCCAAATGCATGCATAAACCAGATCCACGTGTGACCAGCCCTTCACAGATATCAGTTACATTTGTCATAAGCACTATTTTCAGAGCAGAATTGGCATCCAACCATTGCTCAGTGTGAGAAGACAGACTGGATAGCGTTTAACAAGATCTGGTCCTAGGGTCAGGAAAGGCCATCAATGTGGAAAAGGCCCCCTGTTCTCTCAAGCTCTATGCTGGATACTGTGACCATCATCTCTTTCAAATTCTATCCTGCTAACAATATTTCCAAGAAGTTATTATTATTCCCATTTTAAAGGTAAGGAAACTGAGGCTAGACTGGTCAACATGACAGAAGTCATAAGGCTGTGTAAGTGAGCAAACACAGACCTGATTCTGAGGCAGGAGCCTTGGTATGGCGAACCTCTGTGGAAGTGGGTGTGACCTCCCAACCTCAGAGACGTGGCACACAGACAGAAAACATTCACAAGCCCTGTACTTGGGGCCAATCAGAAAGTGCAACCAATAAACAGGTTGCTAATAGGACAACCTAGATCTGATGTCAGCGTGAGGAATGGAGGATTAAAAAGATGGTGGCCACGGAGCTGGTGGTCACTGTCTGCTCTTTCAGGAGCTATTCTACTCTCCGAAGACTGGACTTGTTTTCCTACTTGTAATCAAACCTCACTTACTCTGCACAGCATATTTTTTTTCCTACCTACAATATATTTAATAAATGTAAAACCTTACTACCTTTTTCCACTTGTCTCAACCAGTTGTTTTTTTTTCAGGAAAGCAAGGATCTGAAAAGCATTTCTAGAAAGAGTCCCAGGAGCTTTCCACAGCTATAACTGCACAAAAAATAGTTATTCAATAATTAAGGGCATAATATTCTTCATAAGCTGAAGGGTTTGTGAAGCTGACAAAGCATGAAACTTATGAAGGTGGTAACCAAGAAGGAGTTACTTAAAAAGGAAGGCAATGGTACAGGAAAAGCTTGGGCAAATCCAGATCAAAAGGCAGAACTGAACAGCAGGTACTCCAGGAATTGGATTCTAAGCAAACGAGTATCCGGAAATTCTTACAAAAGGAAAAATTGACAATGAAATTTAAAATTAGATGTGGGAAAACTGAAACACAGAGAGAGTGACTTTTCTATTGGCATAGTGTGTATCCGTCTTTCCATTCAAACAGCACATGATTCAAAAGAATATTTAAATAAGTGCAGCCGGTTGGGCATTATGGAGTTTTACCAGAGAAATATTTACAAATGGAAGCTAATTTTCCTAAAGACTGTTTAGACTCTACCTCATCATTAAGAGTTAACAACAGCTTGTTCAATTAGGAGTTCCGAATGCACCTTTTTATTGAATAACAAGTAAGGGGAAAGGCTTTGTAAACTGAGGAACTCGCATTTGACGAAAATAGAACAGTTCAGGCAGGAGCTGATTCATTATTGAATGGGGCCATCAAGGACAGCTGTGGCATTGTCTTCAATCAAACTCTTCAAAAATAACATAAATCCTGATCCATCTTCAGTGATGTCAGCTCTCTGCTTGAAATTCTTTAGATAATTTCCTCATCTTAGAATTCTGTTCCATTTTTAGAGAAACTTCTCTCTTAGGGTGACTCTCAGTACCGGACAACAGGGCTTTGAAATCAGGAGACCTTGAAATCACACCTGGCTCTGACCTCATGCTTCAACCAGTAATTTGTGATTAAACCAAAAAGTAAAGTTTAGTACTACAAAAGTTCACCCTTTATAGTATCAGGCAGACTACTGGGCACTAAAAACTCTGAGAAGGATTTTTTTCCTTCTAAATGCATTTTATGTGAAGTTTTGGGATAAATGCAACACATGGGGGAATTTAGTGTTCCTTATCATCTATTCTGGCTAAAATAAAGCATGGTATGTGAGAATCAACTTCCTCTTCCTCAAGACGCACTGACTCCAAAGCCATAATCATCATTACTAGACTTTATATGTGTGAATTGATTCATTTTTTCCTAAAAGTTGGTACTATTACGTTCTATATTTTCAAGGAAGACACAGGCACTGAGAAACTCCGCAATTTGTTGCAACCTCCCAGCAAGGGAGGATTGGCAAATCCAGAGCAGAAATCCAGAAACTGGGACGCACAGCCCACTCTCCACTTTGCTGGGGACTGTCAGTAAATCCAGAAAGAATTTATCCTTCTCACACACTTGGAAAGTGCCAATACTGTTCTCTGAATAACAGAAATCTAGGCAACAATCCTAAAGCAAATGCTAGTTATGCAGCAGCAAGAGTATAAAAAATACCTTCCACACTTTCTCAGAAATGAATGAATATTCTACTTAGAAAAGCAATAAATATTCAAGACATATTCTTTTGCTATGAATTAAACTCATTAATTCATGGAGGGTAAATAATACAACCTTTTTTCCTTTCTTTCCCTTCTTTTTTATTTTCTGCATACCTAAGGAGGAAAATGTGTTAAGAATTTTATAACACACAAAGGGAGTATTTTCTTCTAAGAGTACCTGGTTAGAGTCAGACATTTTTCCTTCAAAGTTTTAACAAACACACATGTCACCAGAAGCGGTACAAACACTTGCACCAAAAGGAGGAGAAAAAATTACATTAAATCAAAGACACAAGTAGAATTTACCTGAAAACTAAAACCTCATTTTGAAGTCAGCATGATGGGATTCTTTGCTTTTTTCACCCTCCCCTTTCTTCATCTTAGCCAATAATTCAACTTTATTTCTGGAGAAGCATCCGGAAAGGGTGGCACTGGCTTTGATCACTCACCAAGTTTCCTTCTTCCTCCAGACCTGGGAAGCAGGAGCCCAGGACAGAGAGAAACCTACACCACGAATCTGCCCCGCAATGAGAGGAGACAGAATGCAGCTCTTTCGCAAGCAGGCATATCTGAAAGGCCACCCAAACTAATTTTTAAATGTGTGAACTCTTCTAAACATACACATATTTAATTCCACACACATAAAATAGGTAATTCCCACATTATTTTAAGTTATATGTTACCACATCTAAAGTAAGACTTTTCCCTGAAGTCTTTGTTTCTCTCTCTTTTTTTTAATTAAGGGAATTTTCCCCACATTGATAAGTCAGAAGCATCATACAGTAAGGTAAAAATATCGGAAGTCTGCACCTTCTTCCAAACTCTTAAAATGTGGTGTTATTGTATTTTAAATATAATACAATTTAACCCAAAACCTTGAATAGCATTACGCTGTAGCATGCAGAATACAAACATTTGTGTGTATCATGAATAACATTAGAAATGACATCATAATAATCAGATATACTGTATCTTCATTTCTGTTTGCATTATATTTTCCAGCTGCTGGTTTCAGAAAATTACCACTGGATCCCTCTCCTCTTCATGCACAGTGGAGAGCAATTTGCAAAGTCATGCACGGGTGAAAATGTGATTTCAATGTAGGGATCTTTCTTAATGAAAAATGTTACTGCTTTGGAAATCATAGCTAAAACTATTTCAAAACTTGCTTCTATTTTTAAGCATTATGACATAATGGTTTCCATTTATAAATACACCATCAGTAGTAAGTTACTTAGTAACAAATCGTAGGTTATTTCCCACAGAGTTCCTATACACGTTCTAAATTGTATAAAGCTATATTGGTAATTTGGAGCATTTTTGATCAGGTTTTTGTTATTGTTTGTTTTTGCAGCAATGACGAAATATTGGATCTTTTAAATGTAAATTTAATTTTATTCACAAAAATGGAAATGCTGCCAAAATGTCGAATCAAAAAAGGGCATCTTCAACAACTCTTCAACTTCCAAATATATATTGAGGTTCAGTGTATGAATTGTGGCATACGTAACTGAAAAAGCCAGTTCTATAAGTATTGTTGTTTCTGACTTTGTAAGCTTTCAAACTGTGCCCAATTTGAATTTAAATGTAGCTTAAGGAATCTCTGCTCACAGCAAAGTAGCAAGTAGAATTGATCAATTTTAAATGAGTATCAAAGGGAAAAAAGGTGGAAACTCAAACAAAGATGGAACTCTGGGTTTTTAAGTTTATTTAACAAATGGATAAATATCTTCTCTAAATAGCGATGTGTATTTAAACACCCCAGTAAACAAGAAACAAAAAATATATATTTTTTTAAATCAGAGTTGAGAGACTGTAAGTTTCCCAAGCCAACTAAACTTTAAGGAGGAAAAGCGTAACTTCTCAATAAAAGCAAAAATGGTTAAATGCTGCTTCTCTGCCCTACCTGGGCCATCCCAGTCCTCCGCCTCCACTCCAGGCGGCCCTGGCTTCTCTGGCTGTGTGTCCCCGTCTGACTCTGCCGCCTCCTGGACCCCTTCATCGTCACCTGAGAGACACCAACACGGGAGAAACAGAAGGTCATTAAGAGGGTTCCGTGACCCCCAACCCTGTGTAGAGAGCTGTCCGTACTATACATCCAATTAAAGAGTTGTTACATTATCACCTGATAAATGTCCATCACTAATTATTTTGCTATTTATTGTGGCTTAAGTATAAACAAAATCATCAGTTATTAACTAATAAATACATAAAATTACTATAGACAATAAAGAGCATTCCATCTACGTTTTCCTTCGGAGTTATTATTAAATGTAAGAAGAAAATCAGACAGCAATATATAATTTTTTTAGTTTTTCCATACAGAAAAACTTAATTCATTTATTTCCAAATTATATATATATTTCTTTTAGTACTAGGGATTGAACCCACGGGACCTTGCACAGAGCTATATTCCCTACCTATTTTAAACTTTTTTGGGACAAGGTCTGGATAAATGGTTAACCTGCCCAGTCTGCAATCCTCCTGCCTCTGCCTTCCAAGTACTGGGATTAGAGGTGTGCATCAAGTAATTTTTGTACAGGGAAGACAAATTAGAATGTAATGAAATAACTTTGGGTGAGACATGTTTCTGTTTGTGGTTGAGTTTAGGTTACTTTGAAGATTTTTGTTGTTCTCCAGCTCTACGCTTGCTAAAACTGGCGTCATTTCTTCCAAAGACATGGTGTCAGGACACCATAGGTAAGCGACGGTCACAAACAGACAGCCAGTGACCAGGCGCTCACGAGGCAGGAAGCCAGAAAGTAACGCTGGACCTCGGGTAAGTGCAGGTAGTGCTTTCCTTAAAAAAGAAAAATGCGTTTTGGGTACCAATGAAGCTACAGTAAAGGAGAAAAAACATTCACAATGCAAGCGTATTTTAAAGGTAAATGTCTAAGTTATGAACCCCTTCATCTTAAGTGGTAATGTGGCAAAGTAGACTCAATTCTAAAAGAAAGTAATCTTTACTTTAGCATGGTGCAGACATTAAATAACACCGAGCTATAATTGCTGATAGACAGTAGACAACAGAATAGCAGGCGAGGGTGAAGCCTGCACGTCTTGAATCTTGTTGCACTAGCGTTTCAAAGCAAATGGCTAGCCCACCCGCTTCTCTGAACACTCAACCATTTCCCATGTAGTTGTCCAAAGTTCTAATGGTATTTATATCTTATGCAATTTTACAAGAGAAAAATGCTGAACTTGTGAAGCATCACAGTAAGGCAGAAAACCCAAAACTTCCAGGAAATCGTTATTACCCTACAGGACATTCATCTGATGGTGATCTCAATTTTGAGCCTTAAACCACATATATTTCACATTCATTTAAGTGCAGCATTATCAGATGAATGATTTTGAAAACTGGAATAAAGGTGAGAGCACAGACACTCACGGGCACCGCTATCGAATTCCGTTTCCTTCACAGGGGAGCACTGGTCTGGGGTCAGAAGGAATAAAACCCACAACCAGACCACACCATTGAGTCCCATGCCTGGAATCAGAAGCTCTTGGGAGACCGAGTTATCTCGCCCTTTTACACTGACCAGAATGAATGTCAAGGAAACTCTCAAGAGGTACTGTATGAGTACCCACTGTGTGTAAGGAACCCTAGCAGGTGCTGCAGGACACATGCAGAAAAACACAGATCCCACCTGGAGCTGCGGAACCCTTGGAGGAGAAGGGCAAAGTGCCAAGGGAGGTACAAGGAAATGTTGCCACCCTGCGTTCTCCTTTTCCAGGTTACTAGAAGAACCAACTATCACCGGAGGTCGGAGGAGGAGTTCTGTTCTCACTGGTCCAACATGAGCAGGCCAGATCTTGAGCCCGCACAGAGTGGGCTCTGTGGCCTTTGCTACCCCAAAACGTGGATACCCCTAGCTGACTCTGCTTGCCCAGTCCTTGCCTAGTGACGGTCTGCCCACTGTCCCCATTCAGAGATGGACGCCAGGCCAGGTATGCAGGAGGCTCGCGGCATCTGCACTGACTGCTTCGGTCCCCGACTCCAGGGGTGAGGATTTGAGTCTCAGCCTGTGTTTATGTAAGGATTGAATCAATGCCTTGCAGTGAGCCGGCTGGCATAGCTAGAGTCTCCTTAGCTAGATCAGAGGCTCTGAACATCTCAGATCTTTTCTATTTGCCCTTCCTGCTATGTCCAAGGACTTCTTCTCTGCCCTGTCTTATGCCCATGGAGGCTGACCTCAGGGACCTCCATCTCCTTTGTCTTCTGTTTTCTGGTTGAGTTCAGCCAATGGTAGCAGAGCAGAGAAGCAACGTACAGAAGTAGCAGAGTCAGGTGCTTGCACGTTGACCCAGAATCACTGATGGTCTTCCACTGAATTTAGAGACCCCTCCTGCTTCCTAAGCTCCAAAACTAGCTTCTCTTTCCTTCTGGAGCCGAGTCACCAGCAGCTTCCCACTCCTGGGAGCCCTGAGGCTTCCCACCCGTTGCTGGTTCCCCAAGCCCATCCCACAGCTGTGCACTCTGCAGTAAACTTCTGTAGAGGAGCCCGCCCCTGAGTCAGACCAGTTCCCCCAGGAGCCTTAATGACACATCTGTTTCTTTCCAAGGGCCTCATCCACTTTCCCGGTTTGAAGCCAATCACCACCTCTGCCGTATTTTGTGCACCACTTTCTTTAAATAGAGTCTCTTCTTATAATTTCTTTTTAAAGTTTAAGTTAGAAATCTTGCTTTAAAAAGCAACTTAAAAAAACAAAAACTTACCACTGCTATACATGGAAAATCAGTATCACATGACAAAAATAGAAGATAATCAGAATGATAGATTTCATAGAAACACAGACAATGCTATCAAACTCTAGGTTTTACATCTATTGAGACCCTGGGCCTATGTTCTTATTGCCTTGGCTGAGAAAGGAAAACAAGCAAATACTAAAGGAATTTTTAAATCATGGGGCTATGAAACTGAGATTTTTTTCACCAATATGCGAAGGACAGCAGAAGTTGAAAACGTTCTCCTGGTTGATATAACGCTACATACCAACACATCAGTGTGCTACCTCAGTCTTCTAAGGCATCACCAGAGAGACCGAGGCAAATGGGGAAGACCTTGCCTTGCCAACACTTTCTGTTCCCTTGAGGCCAGAGCACACATGCGATCTACCACTAAGAAGGCAACCTTCTGGCTGCATTCCATAGACTGAACGGGGCTCATCCTGGGGCTGGTGCAGAGCATGCACCCAGGGAACTTGCCCCACAGTGACAAGCTGAGAGTGCAATCTGTAGTATCTGTAGGGTATCCATCCCATTCAAGCCATTCCTCACTGCTCAGGAACCCTGAAACAGGGATGTGGAGGACCTGGTGGGGACTTGAAGAGCATGTGTCCCAAGTTAGACTGATTTACTGTCCAGGAAATTAATGTGCAGGTAGGGGCAGAGTTGTCTTCAGGGTCTGCCAGCTACACTGGTACTCTGGATTGGGTAAGCCCCCACCCACAGGCCCTTCCTGTTGTTACTGGGAGGTGGTGCAGTCTTTAGGAGGTGGGGCTGACTGGACTGAGGGGGTCTTCTGGTCATTGGTGGAGAGCACTTGAAGCAGGTGTTAGGATCCTGGCCCTTGCTCTGCTCCCTTTCACTCTGTCCCTGAGGCGAGGGCTTTCTCTGCTACACATTCCCACCATGACGCATTTCTTCACCACAGCCACAGGCCGACCAACCATGGACTGTGCCCTCTAAAACCGTGAGCCACAATAAAGCCCTTTGTTTTGAGTTGATTATCTCAGGATTTTGTTACAGTAATGGAAAGCTGGTGGACACAACTGCATTGGGTATCAAGCGCATCAAGCATCCCTCCCAAATCTTCCAGGATTCAGGAACAAGGCCTTGCCCTTGTCACGGTAGCAGCATATTCCAACAAGAGGATAGCGCCTCTAGAAGCAAGCACAGAGGGCGTCACTAAAGCCACCACCACCCTCAGCCTGTACAAAGTTTGAAGTCGAAGCTGTGTCACCTAACTGCCAGCGTAGTATTCTTTGTAATGTATCCTTTTGCTCTCTCCCTTCTCCAGTTGAAAGAACTGTGAAGACCCAAACAGTGATCATCCCAGAACAGCCCGTTAGGAGTAAGCATGAGGCCATGCTGTTAAAAATCATCCATCCAAGGGCCCAGAGAGCAGACAGTAAAATTCTGAGCAGAACCACTTAGAGAGGTTAGGGTTTATATTAAAATACTAGCCACATTATCCTTCTGTTCAAACAAAGAAGTAAATCTTCCTGAATTTTACTATACTATTTTTTTGTTTGTTTGTTTTTGTTTTTGTTTTTCTTTGGTACCGGGAACCGAACTCACGACCTTGCGCTTGGCAGGCAGGCGCTTTTGCCACTGAGCTAAATCCCCAGCCCCCTTTACTATACTATTTTAATTGCTGGACACATGGTACCCAGGCAAAATGTAATTAATCATTAATATTTATGATGCTTATTTTGCAAGATATAAGAAATATGAAAGAATTTTAAAATATATTTTATTTTTTTATTTTAAAGGTAAAAGAACAAAAACATACTAACAAACACACATACATTTCCAAAACAAGACAAAAACAATACAAGCAATACAAAATTTCAGACAAGGTGATAGGAAATTAACGACGATGATTATATTACATACTGATATCTTGAAACTAGTTACGCAGATAAACAAATATAGACATGTAGGATTGATCAAACAATTAAATATTAACTGTTCCTTTCAATAAAGCAATAGAAGTCAGTAGTACAGCTATATTAGCTATCCTGTATATACATACATACATAATTTTCTCGTTCTTTCTTTTCTCTTTTCCCTCATCCTAGTTATTCTTTTGAGTAGTTTCCTTAACTTTCACAATATCTATCACACCTCCTAGTTTTTATTCACTCTTTCAGGTTCTCACACTAGTGAGACAGTACACACTCAGCCACCTGATCTTTGACAAAGGGGCCAAACTAGTTCACTGGAAGAAAGATAGCCTCTTTAATAAATGGTGCTGGAAAAACTCACTTGCCACATGCCGA